GGCCCTACGGGCGCTCCAACTGCAGGCGAGTTTTCAGGTTAGCTGCTGGCTCAGGATGCCTGCGCCGGACATGGGGGGCTCAGAACCCACAGCTCCACATGGTGTGGACCTGATATTCCGACTTCTCGGTATTCTTCCAGAGACGCTCCCGTTTGCTAGCCTGCTTTCATCCTGTCCCCTGGAGCCAGTGCCAGTGGGCTGACACTTTCCAGTCCCTGGTTGACAGCCTCACCGCTCTTCCGGGCGCCCAGGCTCACGTGTGGTGTCCGTCTCCGGTTCTCACGCAGCAGAGCCTGTGCCCTCGGCCCCTGCTCTGCTTGTCTTAAAACCCCAAGTGTGGAGGTGTCTGCTTGGAAGTGTCAGATTAAATAGATGTTAACATCTTGCTACATTGGCTTCAAATCTTTTTTTTTAAATTAATATTATACATAAAGCTAAACTCCCAGCCCCACGCCAGTATCCCCCACCCCCCAAAAATAACAATTACCCTAAAATATAGTTGTGTTGTTGTAAGATTTCACGTAAGTGGCAACATCCAATTCATTTTCTTTTGTCTCATGCTTTTTTCACTCAACAGTGTGTTTTCTGCAGTAATCTGTGTAAATCCAGTTCATCCATTTTCGTTGTTAAGCAGTATTCCGTTGTATGAAAAAGCCGTATTGTATTTATTCATTTGCTTATTAAGGGCTAGTTAAATTGCTTGTATTTATTTTGTACCGTTACAGGCAGTGCTCTAGCTAAACTGTCCCTTGTACATCTGTATTTCTCACATCTTGGAGTAGAATTTCTAAATCAAAGGGGAAGCACATCTTCGCTTATTCTGGAGAATGCTAAGTGGCCGCCATACAGTAGCTGTTCTTGTGACGCTGCTTTCAGTCACAGAGCTTTAGAGTGAAGTCCTAGGGTCTTGAGGGGCAAGCAACCTTCTCACCATCTTTCTCCTCCTTTTTCTTCAGAAATTTTATTTTCTCATAAAGGTCTTCTGTAGATTTTAAAAGATGTTTATGTGTTGATCTTGTCTTCCTTGTTGCTGTTACGAAGAATACCCTTTTTCAAATATGCTTCTGTTTGTTGATTTTATAGAATAACTGTTCATGGTTGCATATTGTGCTTGGACCTTGCAACCTTGCCGACTTCCACTAGTGCTAATGATAATTAGATGTGTGGTATGACACCTTTGTTCTCCTGTCCAGTCAAGCACACTGTAGTTATAATTTAGTAAGTCATTAATAATAAAGTTTACAAACTATATGGGCAGAGACTATAACATAAAAGTTAAAATCTTTATTTCAACTTCATTTTCACGCCCCTGCATGTGTCTTCTAGATGCCGAGTGTACCCAGTCTCCCTTGGCACCTACGTTCTGCACTCCCGGTTTGAAAGTCCCTTCTACAAAGGACAGCACAGCTTTGGTAAATTTCCGTGAACTTGAAACACTGATCTTTTTCCTAGTGAGTCACATACACTGTTTCCAGGCTCAAACAGTCTAAACCATGTAGACTGATGCAGCCTTTGGGAGTGTATTTACAGTGTTTCTGGAGGGTTCTTTAACAGCATATATCAAGAACTTTAAATTTTTTTCATAACTTTTACCTGCGTCAATTTATTAAGGCACATTGGGACCGAGATTTATAACAAGGAAGTTACAGAGGAAGAAACTGCACTATTGATAAGGGCACAACATGGGGACAAACTGTCAAATGAAAAAGGGGAGTGAAATATATTAAGGTGAATCCGTTAAGGTCTAGTGCCATGTGACAGGCATATGTTTTGAAAAACAGATAAGAACATACAGAAAGAACGTTTTCAAGAAACATTTAATGATAAAATGATACATCTGTATGTATAGACATACACATGTGCCCATATACACATGCATTTTATTTTATGGAAAAGGAAACACACCACAATGTGGTTATCTACGGGTGATAGATTTATGGGTGATTTTTATTCTTTTTTCCCCCAATTTTTCCCAGTATACAAATTTGCTATCTAATAAAAACCTCATCCCTTTTTAAAGTCAATATGAACACAAAACAGCCAGCCCGGCAGGCTGGACCGTCCAGAGCAGCGATAGAAATGTCCAGTGTGGTAGCTAGCTCCTGAGGACATAAAATGTGACTAGTGCACCTGAGGAGCCAGTTCTCAGTTTTTTTAAGTGTTGTTACGTTAAAATTCGATGTCAACAGCACCACGTGACTCGCGGTAATCCACTGCTAATACTCCTGCTCGCGCAGAAGTCACGCCCCCCTTGTCCCCTCGGACCTCAGGGAGCCGCACCAGGGCAGCGTTGAGGGAGCCGCTTTCTCCCCGCTGGGAGTGAGGGCAGCGCCCATCCGTGCTGTGCCTCTTGTCTGGCCCAGGTCGGTGTGGCCTGAGTCTGGGTGGTGAATCGCCTGGATCTGGGGTTCAGTCAACGAGTCTGCTCTAAAAAGGGATGAGGTTTTTATTAGATAGTAAATTTCCCATGAAGCTCAGCCTGGGAAAAGAAGACGGTACCTGGTCCTCCGTACGCCATCTTTGTGTTCCTGATTGTTTTTAGTCCTCGGTCAGGGAAGCGGGGGTCATTCTGGGGCCTCCTTAGAGACCCCAACAGAACTAACAGTTGACCAGCAAGTTTTATTTACTCTGTCACTTTGTACCATCATAATTTAATGATTTCTTTTTACTCAATAGGTGTCCACAAGTGACCCGCCGTCAGAAACAATCAGCTCAGCAGGTGGTTCGGAAATGAAAGATCGCGCGCCCCTGGTTTTGACCTCAGACGCGCGCTTTGAGGGCTTCGCGGACCCCCCTTCTCCCACGATTTCCTCCTACGAGAACCTGCTCCGGACGCCCACCCCGCCGGAAGTAACTGCGATCCCGGACGACATTCGCCAGGTTGTCTGTCGAGACGTCTTTTTCTGTTGGGCTACTGTGCTGGTTTGCCTAAATCTAAGTTCTGGGCTGTCAGGCCCGTCTAAGGCCACCTGCGAAGGCTCTTCAGAGCTGGGCGCCACCTAGTGGCGGTGTCGTTCTCTGTGCCCTCATGAGGCATCTTCTCTTCACGTCTTGTTCTGAAACACGTTGTGATACTTTCTAGTCATTGTTCAGCGGCGATCACCACGTCGGCCCGCCTCCCTCGGTGCTTCCCGCAGAGTCAGAAATGTCACCCTTACAGCGACCGAGGGTCCGAGTACGGGAGTAACTGTATCAGTGTCTCTTGGACTTGACACGTCCTGGACCTCAGCTGGAGAAACGCTGGTTTAAATATGTTAGATGTCTGATTCTTTGTACAGCATAATTTGCCAGCTGTCTGCTGCTGATTTATAACAACTGCCAACTCTACTGAATAACCACCAGCCAGATGGTCTGAGCACCAGCTCCCACCCCGCAAATACGGCCGTAGGGTGGGCGGGTGTAACTTAAGCGGGTGCAGCTCTTAATAACCATCCGAGAAACCCTCCTAGCTTACAGAGAGCTAAGAGGAGGGTCAGCTGTGTGGGAAAACACCCACGTGCCATTGGCACGGACTCGTCCTAAGGTCAGTCCAGTGTTTGTTACCCTCTCTCTGTCTCCGCTTCCCTGGTGTCGTCAAAAACAGGGGGAAGGAGCTCGCTCTGCCTGTGGCATCCTGTGGAGTTTCCAGTTTGCCGTGGTGGTCCTGCTCTCTGATTTCTACGTGAAGGAGGGGAACCTTGTACTTCACTGTCACCTCTTTGGGAAAAGCTCACGGCTGACATTTCAGATCCTTGTCTTTCTAAGCTTTAGAGCTGATGCGCTTTCTTTTGAGCGATTATCTCGCCGCTTCCTGTCTGTGTTTTCTGAACGTCGTTATCAAGCCTCGCTTTGCTCTCGGGAGGCTCCCGTTAACCTCGGGGTGCCTTCAGCAGGCTTCAGAAACCAAGCCTCAGCACCCAAGGTAAACTTCCGAAATCACCATCTTCTCTGTGCTGCTGAAATCACAGACTGCTTCAAATGAGCCACAGCTTCAGATTTTCCTTGGCTTTTCTTGAATGTTTTATAACACCTTCCAAGGTGACATTATGTTGTTCACAGGACTAGATAAAAAGGAATTTGCTTTGTTTTAGATTCTATCAAAGTACAACTCAAACCTCGCTACTCCAGTGGCAGTTAAAGCGGTGCCGCCCAGCAGAGGGCTCCTTCCTCGACACGAAGGGCAGAACGTCCGGGATGCTGGCAACAAAGAGAACTGGTGAACGTGAGTGTGCCCGCCCCAGAGGAGCGCGTTCTTTGAGGACAGCGTTTGAAAATTCACATCTGAACGGCAGTGAACATTCCTCCTTGACATGTGCCGGCTTCAGGCAACATCCCCTTGGTACCACGCCCATGATCCCTGTGTCTCCGACTCCCACACCGGCACGTTCAGTGATGCCATGGGGAACCTGTTCCCAGCTATTCTATAAGCATAAAATAGATGGCTACGTGTTGTGTCATTTGTTTTGTTGGTGGCTATTAAGTATACTTAATTGATATTTTTTATTTGTATCTTTCCACAGAAGCTGCAGTGGGGCCCTCCTTCTGTTACGGAAGCTGGGTGGAATGTGATGAAGCGAAGCTGCACCCCACCCCCCACACCTTCCCCTTTTTAAAAACCAGTTCATATTAAAGATGAGAATGGACACTGGTGGCCTAGTTTGCTTTTGATTCTGTTCGGTTCAGTGTGGTTGAGTTCAACCCCAGTTGTCAGTGTGTAGCTCAGTTACTCAGTTCTGAAAGGTCATTACTGTTTCACTGATCTCACATTTCCCTTGTCTAATGGACCAGAATGATATAAGTGATATTAGGAAGCAGGACAAACAGTCTTTGAAATCTCACCGTTACTGTCTGCTGCTCAGATGCAGCCGCCATCAGTGCTCAGGCTGGATGCCTGTCGCGTGGCTGGAGCTGGCCCCTTCCCCTGCCCTTGTCTCCTCTCGTGCCTGTCTCCAGGTCTCTTCCTCCCACTTCAGCAGTGCTCTTTCAAGACAGTGCTGTTCACAGGTGACAGCTTAGATTACTCTAGGGAAAGAGGGACTCACAGGCCTAGGAAACCGCACTGTAACGGGCCTCAGACACTCGGAGTCGGGCCCACGCTGTGTCCTGTCCTCTCAAACCCCTCTCCCCAGCACGTGGCTGTGACCCCTCTGGTCCAGAGGCCCAACAAGGTCCCGCAGGACCCTCTCTGCTCTGTGGCCTCCAGAGCCGGCCCCTCGCTTCTGGCAGCCCTGCCCATCGAGACTGGCGGACTCCCGATCTCCGCACAGCTGCAGAGTGGTTTTCCCTGGTGACACTCGTGACAGCACTGTTGGCAGACCACATTACGGCCAGTGGGGAAGGGCGACCTGGCGTGTCAAGGAGACAGAGACATGAGAAGAAACAGGTGATGAGGGGCTCCCGTGGCTCAGCTTCGGGGAAGCTGACGCACGAGATCGCCCTTTGACGTTGTGCCCCGAGAGTCATGTGCTCTCTTCACTTTGTCAGAAAATCGGCACTAAAACAGAACAACTTCCTCTTTGTTCTAGGAATTACTATGCAGTTATAATTATTTTTTGCTAAATTTAATGTAAAATTTGAGATACTTAATTTTTCAAGGTAAGCCCTGGTCCACCTTGTGTTTGTGGCAGCCTTGTCCACTGTTTACCGTCATTCTGTGTCCGCAGGTCCACAGGGCGGGCGAGGTTGGTGGAGGTAGGGAGTCCATTCAGGGTGTGCCGAGGACTGAACCCTGGAGTTCTCGTTTCAGCAGGTGGAAAGAGGCAGACGAATCTGGCAGAGACTGAGAAGACGCCAGTGAAGTCGGCAGAGGATGCTTCAAGGAGAGCGACCGATCCTATCAGCGCTGCTGAGAGCCCAAGCAGAAGGAAGACGCCGTCTCCTCTGGGCTTGGCGGAGCTGACGTTACGGACAGCACTGAGGTGTTCTGCCGGCGCGCTGGGCACAGAGGTCCGGGCAGGGGACGGAGGTGAGGCCGCAAAGACGATGACTGTACCTTGGCAAAAATGTACAACGCAGAGGACAACTTTACGGGGCAAGGACCAGTGTAGCTGGGTGGGAGCCAGCTTGCAGTGAGCTGAGGACAAAAGGCACTATTTTTGGAAACAGCTGTTTGAACTCATCTATTGTTGGCTGTGCACCTAGGTTCACAGCTGCTGTGGGCGGTTACTCACAGCGGGTCTCAGTTTCACCTTGAGGGGAGACCGCAGTCACTGAACCTCAGTGGTGAAGGTTAGATGCCATCAGCCCAGGCGGGGCTCCGCACAGCTCAGCACTCTGTAATTAGCAGCTTAGTTTGTGTGCTGCCTTCTCAGTTTCACAAAAACCAAGTTTGGAATTTGTGTTTGAATAGAAAAAGGTGGGCTGAGTTCAGCTCTATTTAAGAAGAACAGAGTTGAAATCTTAAGAGAACTTTAAGCCTAGCCTAGCCAGTTTACCTGCTTTCTCTCCCCTTCGCACCTGCCCCTTAAACGCGCACACACACACAAAGCTAATGCCTGAAACATCACCTGCGCTGACGGCTACTCTGGGTGTAAAAATTAACTGATCTTAACTGACCCCCTGTCGAGGACCTGGTGAGTAACTGAAAATGCCAAGTCCCCGCACGGCGAGAACGGGCGGTGCACATGCCCCGGCTCCCACTCCAGGTGGGAGGTGCTGCATGATGAGCCGAGCCGGTGCTGCCGCGGGGACTGGTCTCTGCCTGAGCACATTCAGTTACTCACCCAAAGCCACGCTGGCCACAGCCAGAGGTACGTGAGGACCAAGAACAAGTGTTTTGCTTTGTAGCTCTGTATGCAGTGATAAACTGCTTTTGGTGAAGTTTGCGATCTTTAAAGGAAAAATTCCATGTTGAGACATAGAGATGCCAGCAGATACATGAAAAGGCGCTCAACATCACTCATCAGGGAAATTCACGTCAAAACCACAGAGATACCACCACCCACATGTCAGGTGGGCTGCCATCAAAAAGACCACAGGTAGGTGTTGGTGAGGATGTGGAGAAGAGCTGTCTGCGACCCCACATTCACTATGATATTGTTTACAACAGCCATGATGTAAACAGCCTTAAGTGTCCATGGTGGGGTGAATGGATAAACACGCTGTGAGACACACACGATGGAATATTCAGCCATTCAAAAAGAAAGAAATCTTGCCATTAGCAACAGTATGGATGGACCTTGAGTGCATTATGTTACATGAAATTAGGCAAATACCACATTTTCTCCCTTATATGTAGAATCTGAAAAAACAAAGCCAAACCAAACTCACAGATACAGAGGACAGACTGGTGGTTATCAAAGGGGAGGGGAGTCTGGGGGGACAAGAAGGGTGAAGGGGTTCAACTGTCCGGTGGCAGGTGGTAACTGGACTGACTGTGGTAGTCAATTTGTAGTCGGTTTATTCTGTGCACCTGAAACTAATACTTTGTTATGTACCCGTTTTATCTTAAAAAAAACAGAATTCCTTGTTGGAACGAAGCAAATAAACCACTTTATATTCAACTAGTGGGAGAATAACCTGGCATTATAGGAGAGCCCCCAGCGTAGGAGTTCACACCATCATGAAAAGTTGGCCGAGAAAGTCCTTTACTGAGTTCCTGCCTTCCTGATCTGCACTGTACATCTTCTCCACAAATAGGAAGGTAATCACAGCTCCTCTTCTCCAAAAAAAATACGTTTAAGTGAATTTTATGAACTAAGGTTTGAGGCAAACTGCAGGGGCGACAAGGTGCCAGAGCTGGGAGCCAGGCTCCTCTCTGCCATCTGCTGACTGCACAGGGACCCCCAATTCCATAATCACTAGATTTTAAAACAGCATCAAATTACTTTGATTTTCCTTTGCTAGGATATTTGCTAGTACCTATTTTTCATTTTGGAATACACGTTTTCAAAATGTCCTACTGTACTGAACTAAAGGTGACTGAGGCCGTCGCACTGCACTGTTACACACTACACGCTGTTACACACTGCACTGTTACACACTGCACAGCGAGGCTGCACCTGCCGCGGGAGCCAGGCCGCCCTGACTGAAGTCCAGCTTGGGGCTAACATTTGTTCCCTACGTGACAGGCACTATTCTACGCCCTTAGCAAACATTTGTCACAATCCTACGGGCTGTTCCCTCCATTTTACAAACTAAAAAAAAACAAAGACTCAAGTAACTTGTCCGAGGTGGCTACTGCTGCAACCAGATATAAATGTCCAGCCCAACTGGTTTGAACCAGCCCGCACTCTGCCTCCCGGGTCAGACCTCAGGTACACCCCACCCCTCAAGGCTCCTGACAGGATATGGGCACCCCACTCTCACCGCGACCTGCTCCCTGGCCCTAAGAGTCCCCTTTTGTGCCCACCCTTCGTCTCCAGGCAACCCTCCTCCCTCACGTCCCTCCGTGCTAACCCTTGTTCCTCTACATGCGTCCTGCCCTCAAAATGCCCTTTGCTCCCCATTCTTAGAACATGAAAAGGCGTCACTGTGGCACCGGTTCTCCTTGCCTCTAACTGGCGGACACTGTCCCATGGTTCAGGTGGGCCCATCTCTCCCCACGGCTCCCCTTCCCGACTCCAGGCTCCCGCGGTGCCGGACCCCCATGGCGTCCTTGTTCTGCCCACCTGGGCTTAAACACACCCAACTCCATTACTCAGGAAAGCCCCAACAGAGTTCAGCCCTGCCCCGGGCCCTAGAATTTTCACACTCAAGTTGACTGCAACATATATTTAACAATACAGTTTTACATAGAATGCTAAGAGCACTTTTCTTCATATTTTACAGGACTTGAAACATAAGGACTTTCTATTAACATTCATACCATAGCAAAGCCAAGTCTAATTGCTAAATAGATGCATTACAATTTGTTTAGTTTAAAGGCTTAATGGCAATAAGGGGGGAGGAGAAAGCAGTTTATTTTACATAACTGAATGAAAAATAAATTCAAGAAATAGCAAATAAAATTTAATATGGTCGCATGCGCCCCGAAGGAGGTGGTGCCCGATTTGGAGGGGTGATCGCTATGTCCAAGTAGTCTCCTATTTGGAACTTCTGTGACTGCAGGGTCATGGAGTCGTCCGTCCCCTTCCTCCCAGACATGGTGCTGCCGATCTCCTTGACTCTGCGGGGAAGAGGCCAGCGGTTAGAGGAGGACAGTCACTGAAACCTAAGCGCTGCCGAGTGCACATGGGCCGGGCTGCTCCGGAGCTGTGCTGTCAGGACCGCACTAACCCCAAGCAGGCATCAAGACAGTCCAGGGTCTTCCCACCCGTTGAGGAGGTTCATTAAAGGGGTTATCTTACCGGTAAAACATGCCCAAACCAAAGAGGTCACTGCAGGAATTAGAAATGAAGCCACCTACCTATACCCGGGCCTTTTAAGATCCGTGAAAACAATTGCAAAATTGAAGTGTGTGCCCTTCTTCCTAGCCTCTGGGTAGACTTCTTTCACTAAACTAGTCAGTTCTTTCAAGGTTGCGTCCATCCTGAATATTTTTAAAAAAAAGACATTGTATTATTAACATAAGGTTAATCAGCAATAATATGACAAGGATACTGACACACAACGAGTTAATTACATGTGTCTCAATTACAACTTACGTTAGAAAGGTCTACAGTTGAGTAAATTCTGAGGCACCTAGTAACACTGCCTGCCCCCAGATATTCCCCTGACCATCCTCAGTGTCCACAACTTGATGAATTAAGGTCAGACTGTTAGTATGCTGAAGGGACTTCAGAATTAGGCATGCTGTCTTTTGCTGCTATGTAACATCTTACTGGCCTACAAGTCCAAATTAATCCAAGTTCTTAAAATAGTTGTTCTTCATTATTTCTAAGACACATACTTTCCCCACATTTTAGCATCTCTGAAATTCGAATGCATCTCAGAATCAGTGTGATAGAAAAGCATTTTCATAAAGATGTGCAGTGTTTTCCTTTCTAAGATTGACTGATGATGAGTTTTACAATAGACGGAGTCAAAGTCAATGAAACACATAGAACTCTACACTAAGCTTGGCCTCCTCTCAACATATATTCCTGTGCTGACAGTGTCCATCTGAACTCAGAACTCAGTATAGTCCCTTGAGCTAATACGGCACAATCTGGAAAAATCTTCCAAAATATAAGCGTCCTGGAAACACAGCAAACTAGTCTTAAGTTCCTGTACTGTTTTTCTTTCATGACAACTGGGAATATGAAAGGGGGGACTTGGAACTTGAAGCACCGCCGCCTGACGTGCTGTGTGGTGACACACGGAGGCAGGGCACCTGCAAAGATGGAGAGCTCTACTGTGTAGCACAGAGCAGGGAATCCAGCATCCGAGACACCGCTCAGCTTCACCTCTACACCCACTCACACCTCTCCACCTCGTCACATTCAAGCAGAACCTCGGCTCCAACTGCATGAGTGAAACCACCCATGATGACCACGGTGTCTTCGCTCTCCACCACCGCCGCCTCCGTGCCTGCGACAGAGCTCAGCAGTGCCCCCCAGTGTGCCCTGTTTCACCACCAAAGCCACCACCACCCGCCCAGTCGCCCGTCTCCAGCCCGTTGTCTCTACCCACTAAAGGCAGATCAGATCTGTACTTTATCCATCCCACCATCACAGCTTCAGTCCAACCTCTCATTATTCAAATCTTTGTATGTTGCCTTCAGTTCACCTCAGTGTTTTATCTGCCTGATACGCTGACGTTTATTCTGTATCAGTTACTCCCTGGTACACAGTATGCACTTACGACGTGTGCCAGAAAGGATTCTTCCTTCCTAGCAACATTCTCCAGAGTGTCTCCTTGAGGAGTGTGGTCACACCCTGTATCAGTTCTGACATGGCTGAGGACTGTCTTCCCAGACCAATGGTTGGGAACGTTGCTCTCCAACCACGAGCCTCAAGCGTGACGAACGTTAAGACTCCCCCGGGTTGAAGTCTTTGCTGGGTGACCGTGAGGGTTAACTTTATGTGCCAATTTTGAGAAGCACAGCCCAGTTCATAGGTGTTGTGTCAGGTAGATAGTATTAAAGTCTACAGGAGATTTTTAAAGGATACTAGATACCAGATAATCTGCGTAAATCTCAATCTGAGTGGGCCTCATTCAATCAGTGGAAAAGATGCACTTTCGAGACTTCCCTGAAGAAATTTCAGCAGCTTATGCTGGAGAGTTCTGGACTGCCCTTCCTGGTGGCCTGCCCCACTGCTGAGGACTTAGGTGCCTAGGCCGTCCCGACAATTTTGTAAATCAATTTTCTGTAATAAATCTCTTCATATATATCTCCTACTGGTCTGTTTTTCTGGTTGAACCCTGTTACAGTCACCTAGATAATTCTCTTCCAATAAACAACCTGCTTAGCGCCCACCCAAGCACAGGATATACTGCTCCTGCGGCGTGCCTGTGGGTGCTCCCCCAGCTCCGCACAGCGCTCTGGACTCCGGCAAACTCAGCAAGCTTCTGCTGGGCTCCTCTGGACGCCACTCCTTTCCCTCGACTTGTCTTCGGGCTGCCCCTCAGTCTCCTTCTGCAAACAGTGAGTTCCCAAGGCTGTTAACCAGTCTCCCCTCGTTAGAGCTTCGGGAGCGGCGGCAGGCTCTGAGCTACCCCTCCATGACCACGATGTCTCTCTGTCTTCTCTGCCACCATTTTGAGGTATAATATAATGCTGTCTTTCCTTGTTTGGTCACAGTTTGTGGACAGGACTTTTTGTAATTTCTTTCCTGATTGAGAGAGTACAGGTCCGTGGAACAATCCCACCCTGCCATCTCCACCCAAAGTCTTAGTATTTATTCATCTGCCTTCTCTCCCAGGTAGGGAGGGGCAGTACCTTCTTTATACCCTCAGGGTCTAAGCAAAGCACCTGGCAAATAGGAAGTGTTAATTTGATGGAGAAAATAAAGACATAATCTCTGAACAGAGGTTCAAGTTAATCACCAATCTATTAATAACAGCTCTTCCCTACAAGCTAAATCAAGCTTCCTGAGCTGTTATCCTGGAATAATACTGAACTAGACTCAGACTACTACACACAGAAATTTAATAAGTACCTCCAAAGAGAAAAATGAGGTTCCAATATTTAAAGAACTGAATTCTAGTACACTGGGTTTACAATTAAAATTACACCCCTTCTTAGGAATGTAAAAGGCTGTATGTAGAACAGTTTAGCAGTTCCTCAAAAACTTAAAACCCAGAGTGACCATGTACGATCGAGCTATCTCATTTCTGGGTACATACTCAAAAGATACTTATGCACCCACGTTCACAGCAGCACGATTCACAATAGCTGAAAGGTGGAAACAGCCTCCAATGTCCATCAACAGACAAGTGGACAAACAAAACTGCATAACCAGACAATGAAATATTACTCAGCCATAAGGAAGAATGAAGTCCTGTTACATACCACAACGTGGATGAACTTAAAAAACGTAAGTGAAATAAGCCAGACACAAAAGGATGAATCTGATGAGTCCACTTACATGAAATGCCTAAAACAGGCAAATTCAGAGACCAAAAGCAGAGTAGTGTCTAGCAGGGACTGGGGGGAGGGAGGAATCCTCACCGTTACTGCTTACTGGTACAGAATTTCTTCTAGGGATAACTTAGAACTTTTGGAAACAGATAATGGTAGTGGTTGCACAATGTGAATATACTTAATGCCACCAAGTGGTGCACTTAAACAGTTAAAATGGCACATGTCACATATACTTTACATAACAGATAAGAAATTTTTTAATATACACCTTTTAAGGCTACTAAAAAGCCATTATGTCAAACCAAGGACTTACATGCAGCTTGCTGTATGTAACAGTCCTAATGAGACGTGGGGTAAGGAAGGTCCACTTAACAGGTAAACACCCAACCGCAGGTCTTCAGGCAACACATCAAAAGCTTATCCACTAAGCACCACATCAGAACACCGGGGTTTGCTTTCGTGATGCTGTGGCACCTAAGGCTTGGTACTACGTGGACACGCTCTCCGGATGGCAAACCTCACTCAATAGCACCACATACTCGACCTCGAGCCCCTCAGGGGCGGCCACCGCGTCTTAACGACACAGCAGCCAGAACAGCGAGGAACCTCGGGTCACTTCCTTACTACCCCAGTTTTCGCACTAAACGTAGAAGCGCCCCAAGAGGAGCGAACACCCGCTCCCCCGCCAGCTGAGACCGCTGACTTCCCGCGAGCTGCGCCCAAAGGCCCCGGCGGAAAGGGGGCTGCAAACGCGCGGACGGGCCCTCAGCGGCCCAGGGACTCCCGCCCGCCCCGGCCCCGCCTCACCAGGTGTAGATCTGCAGCTCGCTGGACGGCACGTTCCCGCGGGAAACTCGTCCATGCGGTGGTGGCGGCCGTTGTTGGTGGTGAACCGCGCAGCAGCAGCGGGCAGGTC